TCAGGGTAATTGGTTGGAAGCAATGGTGATATATATTAGGAGGAAGAGTGACAGGTGACTTGTAGTCCCAATAAATTGCTGAAGGACCCTTGCTGTCTCTGCAGAAGACCTTGACATATGAAGGCCTTCCTTCCTGTCCTTTGTAGAGCAGAAGGGTAGTCTGCTTCTCAGTCTGTCAATCATTTGTGTCTTGAACACAGATTGAGCACAGTGTCTATAAGTGGTTTGTACATGCTGAAACAGAGTGTGCACTTTTTTCCCAGCAAATTGAAAGATAAAATATTTTACTGGTCTGATGGGTATCTTATTTCCATTTATTTTCTTTCCCCCAATTTTACTAATGCATTCTTTTACTGATTCTATCACTCAGGTAGGTGTAAAATACAGCCTTAGCTTGGGGGTTGGGAGTGGGACTGAGATGGAAAGAATCGATTTGGGATGGAAGGCACCAAAAAGTAGGGGGAAGATTGCATGGTACCAAATCTATTTCTTGTGTTCTCATTCTCCCTGATTTTTGTTGGCATTTAGCCTGCATTTGGGAGCTCTCTTTTCTTAGCTTTCATGAAATAGAACCTCCCAGCTCTCCACTGACTTCTTTTTTAAAGTTTCTTTTTAATTGACAAGTTAAAATTGTATATATTAATGGTGCACAACATGGTGTTTTACCCACGCACTTCTCTGTTCTTTGTCTACATGCGTCATGGGCTATTCTTCCTCTCGCCAGTCTAGAGCAAAGGAAACCTTAAAATAGATGTGATATTAACTATCAGTTTATGTAACTAAGTGCTTTTCTCTACATAAAAAATGTAGACTAAGGCCGGGCGCGGTGGCTCAAGCCTGTAATCCCAGCACTTTGGGAGGTCGAGGCGGGTGGATCACGAGGTCAAGAGATCGAGACCATCCTGGTCAACATGGTGAAACCCCGTCTCTACTAAAAATACAAAAAATTAGCTGGGCATGGTGGTGCGTGCCTGTAATCCCAGCTACTCAGGAGGCTGAGGCAGGAGAATTGCCTGAACCCAGGAGGCGGAGGTTGCGGTGAGCCGAGATCGCGCCATTGCACTCCAGCCTGGGTAACAAGAGTAAAACTCCGTCTCAAAAAAAAAAAAAAAAATGTAGACTAAAAATATATATTTGGAAAATATAAAAACACTAAATACTATTGCTGGGCAGGGTGGTTTACGTGGTTTAGGGGGCCGAGGCAGGCGGATCACCTGAGGTCAGGAGCTCGAGACCAGCCTGGCCAACATGGTGAAACCCCATCTCTACTAAAAATACAAAAATTAGCTGGGCGTGGTGGCCAGCGCCTGTAATCCCAGCTACTCGGGAGGCTGAGGCAGGAGAAGCACTTGAACCCGGGAGACAGAGGTTGCAGTGAGCTGAGGCTGCGCCACTGCACTCCAGCCTGGGCAATAGAGTGGGACTCTGTTTCAAAAACAGAAAAACAAAAGCCAAACAAAATCCCCATAGTATATTACAGATGTATGAAGCAGTAACTTAGTTCATATAATGCAATAACAGTATAGTAACTGCCTTAGTCCATTTTGTGCTGCTAAACAGGATACCTGAGACTGGGTAATTTATAGAGAAGAAAAATTATTGCTTTACATCCTGGAGGCTGGGAAGTCTAAGATTAAGGTGCTGGCATCTATTGTCTGGTGAGGGCCTTCTTGCTCCTCAGGTGGCAGAAGAGAGAAGGCCAAAAGGAACCAACTTCCTTGGTGGGGTCCTTTTAAAATGGCATTAATTCTTTCATAAAGGTGGATTAATCATGACCTCCCAGAAAGCTCCACCTCTCAATACTGTTGCCATAGGGATTGAGTTTCCAACCAATGAATTTTGGAGGACACATTCAGACCACAGCAGTAATCACAATACACAGTTTTTGAGGACTCCAAACCAAAAGACTCTTCCCTCCAACACAGACATTAGGTACTTACAAAGTCTTAAGATCTGTTGCATTAAAATGTGTTAGCCTTTTTACTTGGAGACAATTAACATCAATAATAGCAGAGATAAACAAACCAATGTTCTAGTAGAAATCATTCCGGGTTTGTTAAACAAAGACCACAACTTGCTTCGGATGGTCTCAGTTGTTTTCTTGGTAAAGCTTTGTAGCATGGCTCTTGGTTTTGATTTGGTTCATCCAACTCACAGACTTACATTTCACTTTCCAAGGTGGCCAGAGACAATTCCAATAATGATGAATATAAAGAGACTAATTGTCTTTTAGAAATCTTTCCAGGTGTGTTCACCAAAGACTGGATGTCCCGCTATCACTCACCTTAACACAGCCCCTCAAATTGATGCTAGTGACTTGGCTTTTTTTATCACACCATCATTTTGAAGCCGAGAAATCTTACTTTGTACTCTAACTCATCACTCTACTTCAATCTCAGTTCCTTTTTCTTTGTTTTTTGAGACAGTTTCACTCTGTCACCCATGCTGAAGTGCAGTGGCATGATCTTGACTCACTGCAACCTCCACCTCCTGGGTTCAGGCGATTCTCCCGTCTCAGCCTCCTGGGTAGCTGGGATTGTAGTCACCCACCATGATGCCTGGCTAATTTTTGCATTTTTGTAGAGATGGGGTTTCACCATGTTGATCAGGCTGGTGAACTCCTGGTCTGAGGTGATCCACCCATCTTGGCCTCCCAAAGTGCTGAGATTACAGGTGTGAGCCACCAAGCCTGGCCCAATCCCAGTTTCTAATCATAGGATCACACAATATCAGAATCGGAACAGAATTTTTAATTCAGCCAAGCATCTCACATCAATTCCCTTTCTCTATGGTTTTGTACCCTCCCTTGTCCTAACCAACTTGCTCTGTTTGAAGGTCAGTGACTGTGGGGGTCACTGCTCTAACCAATGGGGAGTTTATGGCGTGTGGTGTTTGGTGACTTCTTCTGATATATATTTATTAACACTTCACACTGGGCAGGTGTTTAGTCAGCTTTGTGGAATTCTAACTTGCTGATATGGTTTGGATGTTTGTTCTCTCCACATCTCATGTTGAAATGTGATTCCAGTATTGGAGGAGGGACCAGGTGGGACATGTTTGGATCATAGCGTGGATGTCTCATGAATGGTTAATGCCATCTCCTTGGTGATAAGTGAGTTCTTGCTCAGTTAGTTCACATGAGATCTCATTGTTTAAAAGTCTGGGACCTCCCTTTTCTCACCCTCTCTTCTTCCACTCTGGCCATGTGAAATGCCTTTTCCCCCTCCCCCTTAGCCTTCTGCCATGATTGTGAGCTTCCTGAGGTCCTCACCAGGAGCAGATGCTGGAACCATGCTTGTACAGCCTGCAGAACTGTGAACCTCCCTTCTTTATAAATTACCCAGCCTCAGGTATTTCTTTATGGCAATGCAAATAGCCTAATACAATTCCAATCCCCTTGGTACCACAACTAGATATCACAAGAAAAGAAAACTTCAGACCAATATTTCTTATGAATATACATGCAAAAGTCTTCAATAAAAATACTATCACATTGAATCTAGCAACATAAAAAGGGACTATACACCATGACCAAATATGATTTATTTCAAAATACAAGGTTGGTTCAGTACACAGAAAAATCAGTGTGATACACTTTATTAATAAAATAAGGACAGAAAAAGAATGAAGCTCTGATATATGCTAAAACATGGATGAACCTTGTCTTAGCCCATTTATGTTGCTATGAAGGAATACCTGAGGCTCAGTAATTTCTAAAGAAAACAGGTTTATTTGGCTTGTGGGTCTGCAGGCTGTACATAAGAAGCATAGTGCCAGCATCTGCATCTGCTGAGGGCCTCATGAAGCCCACACCCATGGTGGAAGGGGAAAAGGAGGAGGCATCACATGGTAAGAGAGGGGAGGGAGGTGTTAGACTCTTTTTAACAACTAGAGCTCATAAGAACTGAATGGGAACTCAGTGAATTTCATGAGACTAACACCAACCCATTTATGAGGGATCTGCCTCCTGACTCAAACATTGCCCACGTGGCCTCACCTCCAACATTGGGAATCAAATTTCAAGATGATAGTTGGAGTGGACAAACATTCAAACTGTTATCAAACCTTGAAAATGTTATGCCAAGGGAAAGAAACTAGACACACAAAAAAGGCCACATATATGTTTCTTTCATATAAGATGTACAGAATAGGTAATCCTATAAAGACAGAAAGTAGATTTGTGCTTGCTAAGGGCTGGAGGAAGGAGGGATTGGGGAGTGACTGCAAATGGGGACAGAGTTTCTTTCTGGGGTGATGAAAGTATCCTGAAATGGTGCTATTATTGCATCTTGTGACTATACTAAAACTGCTAACTCGCTGGGCACAGTGGCTCACGTCTGTAATCCTAGCACTTTGGGAGGCCAAGGTGGGCAGATCATGAGGTCAGGAGATTGAGACCATCCTGGCTAACACGGTGAAACCCTGTCTCTACTAAAAAATACAAAATAATAATAATAATAATAATAATTAACCAGGCATGGTGGCACACACCTGTAGTCCCAGCTACTCGGGAGGCTGAGGCAGGAGAATTGCTTGAATCTGGGAGATCCGGGAGGTGGAGGTTGCAGTGGGCCACGATTGCACCACCCCACTCCAGCTTGGGTGACAGAGTGAGTCTCTGCCTCAAAAAACAAACAAACAAACAAACAAATCCTCCTGAACTGTATATTTTAAAATGATGAGTTTTATGGCCAGTGGATTATACTTCAATAAAAAAGAACTAGCTAAGAAAATATTCCTATAGTGCATAGCAGAATGTTTAAGGCAAGTAGAAAGTAAAATAAATATGAGGTAATTGATGGATGACAGGAACTGTTGGAAATCTCTTTGTAGATCACAAATACAGCCATCATTTGTTAAATAATAGGCGAGAAATGAGCTTCAAGGAGCTTAGTCCATGTAATCTCCAGAAAATTGTGTCCCAGGAGTTGCTTTTGGTAAAGACTAAATTCTTCACGTCTAGCGCTCCCTCCTAAGCATTGTATTAATTTTACTTTCAGCATCAGTATGACAACCTGCTCCACTGTGGCTGCCTTGGGAATGATGCCGCTCTGCATCTATCTCTACACTTGGTCCTGGAGTCTTCAGCAGAATCTCACCATTCCTTACCAGAACATAGGTCTGTATGGGCCTGTGAAATGGAGGACGAACAGTAATAGTGATGACACTAATAATAGCTGTTGTTAATTACATAACTATGCAGGGATTTTTTTGTAGTACCTGGCTTAATCCCTTAAAGAACACTACAGTATAGATTCTGTTACCAGTTCAGTCTCCTAGGTCTTCAGGCTTCAAGAGGTTTAGTAACTTGATCAAGATTATGCAGCTGGTGACCAGGCACAGTGACTCACGCCTGTAATCCCAGCACTTTGGGAGGACGAGGCAGGCGGATCATGAGGTCAGGAGATCAAGACCATCCTGGCCAACATGGTGAAACTCCATCTCTACTAAAAAAAAAAAAAAAATTATCTGGGTGTGGCAGTGCACACCTGTAGTCCCAGCTCCTCGGGAGGCTGAGGCAGGAGAATTACTTGAACCTGGGAGGCAGAGGCTGCAGTGAGCTTAGATCATACCACTGCACTCCGGCCTGGGTGGCAGATCTCCAGACTCGTCTCAAAAAAAAAAAAAAAAGAAAGAAAGAAAAACATTATGCAGCTGGTAAGCACAGAACTGGAGTTCTAACCCAGGAATTTGACTACAAAGTGCAAACTTTTCACCCCTACAAGATTGCATTTTTGAAAAAAAAGTCAGATGATTTATTTTGAAAAAAACAAAAATCAAACCCTTATATAATTAGACTGTGAAGCAATTTGACTATGCTTCAAGGTTTAACTTGATCTAATGGCTCTAATTAGACCTTCCTGTGACTTATCTTTCACCTTGCCTGCGAAACTTGACTTTTTCTTGTAGGTTGAACATAAATAATTCTTACTTCTTCTTCTTCTTATTATTATTATTTTGAGATGTAGTCTTGCTCTGCCGCCCAGGCTGGAGTGCAATGGCGCAATCTTGGTTCACTGCAACCTCTGCCTCCAGGGTTCAAGTGATTCTCCTGCCTCAGCCTCCTGAGTAGTTGGGATTACAGGTGCCTGCCACCACACTCAGCTAATTTTTGTATTTTTAGTAGAAACGGGGCTTCACCATTTTGGCCAGGCTGGTCCTGAACTCCTGACCTCATGATCCTCCTGCCTCAGCCTCCCAAAGTGCTGGGATTACAGGTGTGAGCCACCACACCTGGCCCATTCTTACTGATTATTAAAACTCATCCACATGTCACAATCATACTCATGTCTCTTTCACGATCTCCTGTCCTGAGTATTACCTCTCATTAAAGTCTGCCCTTGTCTTAAAGATCTCTGTGGGTTCACCAGGCTTAGAAGAGAAATGTGGTGAAATGATCTGCCTTTTCTAGTCTGGTCAGTTTTTGGAGAAGTGATAGACACTATGATTTTAAGACTCTCAGTGTCAAGCGCCTTGAGGGCTTACAACCCATGGCCCATAGTTCAAAACTATGAATGAAACCACTTCCTCACAACAGTTGGAGTCCATTGAATTTGTAAAATTTGAGAGAAACCTTAATTTAGAAACCATGATTTTATGTGCAACTTTTTTCTGATCAGTAAGTTAATGTATTCTGCTTTGATAATATGTTCTGAAAGGCACTCACAAACAATTAAGACTCAAAATGTTATGAGAAGCTTATATAACTTTGGAGCCGATATTGTAGGCATTTGTCCAGATCTGGAAAGTGGCATGGGAAAATGCCCATTTAAAGCTGTCATCTAATTGAAATAGAAGTTGTCGAGAAGGACTGTGTAGTCAGGATGAGAGGGAAAACCCTTTGACGAATTATTCTTCTCTTTAGGAATTACCCTTGGGTGCCTGACCGTCCCTGTGGCCTTCGGTGTCTATGTGAATTACAGGTGGCCAAAACAATCCAAAATCATTCTCAAGGTGAGCAACTCCATGGCCACTGTTGGCACATCCTCAGACTCAGGGCCCTGAAAGTCAGAAGTGAGCAGTGGCTGGGACAAATGAGATTTTCCAGTACAGCCCCACACCCAGAAATTCTCCTTACACGTCCTGCGGTTTTGGATCCAGAGATCATATTTCTTCCACCCTGTAAGCCTTGCTCTGCCACTTCCATAGGCCTGTACCCTGAGGCTTTTGGCACCCTAGAAAATAAGTAACTATTGATTTAATGTCAGAAAAACTAAAGTCTGTGTGAAAACACAAGATCCCAGGCCCATCCATGCACAAGGCTTCACACAGGTGCTCTTCACACAGGTGCTCACCTTCACACAGTTGCTCTTGCTTCACACAGGCAGAAGCAGTTCAAGTGAGCGTGAAATAGAGACCCGTGTTTAGGAATATGGCTGGTTTCTTGGAAGAGTAGGAGGAAGGGCTGTCTTGCAGAAGCATTCCTGGGGGCACTGCCAAAGCTGTAGTTTATACACATGAGCAAGGCTGCTGACCACATGAATAAGACCGTTTAAATACAATCATCCAGAAAGCACTGAGGAGTCTAGCTATGGGATGATCGTGACTAGAACTTTCTACCTCCTCTTGTCTTCCCAATCTTGCCCTTTGTCTGTTGGAGAAACAAGCAAATGTCTTTGCTAAACGGCTTTTAAAAATAATTCAAGAGGTCAGGTGCAGTAGCTCATAGCTGTAATCCCAGAACTTTGGGAGGCTGAGGTGAGAGGATTGCTTGAGGTCAGGAGGTTGAGGCTGCAGTGAGCCGTGATCGTGCCATTGCACTCAAGCCTGGGTCACAGAGTGAGACCCCATCTCTAAAAAACAAAACCAAACAAATGTAAAGAGGAGGCATTCTTAACAGTGATGTCAATCTTCTAGGGTGCTTTCCACTTTTTTTTCAGATTATGTATCACTTTAGCAGATATAAGGAAATATGTGTGGCTTTCATGAAGATTTGAAAAATGTTTTAGTTATATTTTACATTTACAATGAAAAATTTGGGGTTATTTGGAGTTTCAGGTAATAAATCTCAGTTAATTTTGTTTTGTGGTTTATGGTTTGGCTTAGTTTAAGCTTTTGCCGGTTGGCTCTACCTCACAGAACATTGCCACTCCATATGCTTGTGCCAATGGACACTGTTTTCCCAGTTAGGCATAAGGCTGAATAACTCCTGCATTCCTTCAGTGTGTTGGAGGATGAGAGGAGCAGACAAATCAGCTGGGCACAGAGAGCTGGAGGATGGCTTACTATAGTACATTTGTATCGCATATGGATGACTTTAACATCCATAGTGCACCAAGGGTGCACTCATGGAATAAAGTCCCATCTTTTCCACATTTATTTTTAAAAATTAGTTAATTAATTAATTTTTTGAATAGGGCCTTGCTCTGTCACTTAGGCTGGAGTGCAATGGCATAATCACTGCAACCTTGAACTCCTGGGCTCAAATGATGCTCCCATCTCAAGCTCTCAGGTAGCTAGCACTACAGGCATGCACCATTTTGCCCTGAGAATAAAAAGACATTTTTTTTTTTTTTTTTTAGAGACAGGGTCTTGCTATGCTGCCTAGGCTAGTTTGCAACTCCTCGCCTCAAGGGATCCTCCTGCCTTGGCCTCCCAAAGTATCAGGATCCCAGGCATGAGCCACTGTGCCTGGCCCCTTTTCCACATTTATTATTGTTATTTCAGTAGGAGAAAATTTCCAGTGTAGTAGTTATGATTTTGTTTACAAAACAAGAGGAGGGAAAT